TAATAGTACCTTGATAAGCTTGCCTATACATCCCGACACGATAATATGGATCGCAAAAATCGTAGGCGGACATTGACCTACTCTCAATACAAGCACAAGCATGCTTGCACGGATCTTAGATAGTTGCCATTCTCCACAAGAACAAGTCCGAAGTTGCAAATCTACGTCACAACTTTTGTCGCCATCAACAACCTCAAACCTCCATTCACTTGATTGACTGATTTTGACATTGCGGGAAGCACTGTAGGAAGTTACAATTTTTTTCTCAAGCATAAGACACAACTGACCAGTGAATCGCGACACTCCGTCACGCCGATCATGCATCATGGTCATAATTTGTTTTCTTATGTGATCCACCATGGCTACAATAGGCATAAATCGTGTTGACTTTACCCAGTTATTCCAACATTCTGCTTGATTATTATTCATGATCCCCCAACGGTCTCCAACAAATAAAGAATTCACCCAACATTGTGGGTTAGAATTCTGAAGGAACTCCATTGCATCAGGCATCTTAGTCAAAATATTATTTATATGGATATCAAAATCTTGCCTTTTAGCAGCATACGCAGCTTTCATAAAAACCGAGGACCAATGTTTCTTATTAAAATGTGGGTATTTCCTCAACACCTACAAAACATAAATAAATAAATAAATAATTATTCACAGAAAAATGTGAATTATTCACATTTTTAAACAGAATTTAAACAGAATATTATTCACAGAATAATAATTATTCACATAATATAAACAGAATTTAAGTTTCTTACCTACTGCTTAAAGTTGTCGACTAAGTGTCTCAAACAATAACCATGATGGCTGCCAGGAAAAACCATAGGGATGGCTTTAACTAGCCCACTGTGTCGGTCCGAATAAAAAGTGAAGCTTCTAGAAACAGGTAAGCGGGAGGAAAGAAAACTACTATTCAGCTTCAAGCAAAAACCACTCTCAATTTTCATCGGTCTCGGCATCAACCACGGCATATGCTATAGTGAACAAGTCGTCATTGGCATCCTTACTCACAGCACTAAGCAAAACGCCTTTGTATTTATGTTTTATGTGGGTGCCATCCAAAAATATCAACCGTCGACAACCGATTAAAAACCGATAAGGCAGGCATTAAAGCAGATGAACAATCTGTGGAACTTATTCTCGACATGGTCAATCTCACAATCAGCAATGCTTCCAGGGTTTGTCTCACGCACTGCGCTACAGTACCATCTCAATTTGTCGTAAGATCCCCTGTCTGCTCCATGAATATCTTGCATTGCAAGTTCCTTCCCTAACCATGCCTTTTTGTAAGGCAACTCCAAGCCATAATCTCTGTGAATATCTTTCAATATCGTGCAAGGCTTGTAGTTTGGATCATCTCTCAGTCTGTCTTTGATTGTAGTTGACACCCAAATGGAGTCCGCTTTCGGATGCCCCTTGTCCGAAGATTGGACACGCCACAAGTATGGACGAGGTTGCATTTCCGGATGGCAAACTGCTGATCGCCTTTGTATAACGATGCATATACTCTCCATTCACAATCCGCATCGCTACAACAAACGATGACCTTCTGCTTGTCATTTTTCCGATACTTAAAGGACCGCTTGTTTGCAATTGCGTAGTTTTTGACACTCTTTCGAAAATCGTCGGCCCCAGCGAATATTTTCCCCTCTCCTTTGAGGCAACATCTCCAAGAATCGATCGATTTATCTTGCAACAACTCATGTTCTCCCTCCGATAAATCATCAGACTGTACGTTTTCCCTGCGTTCATGACAAAATAATACAAACATTTATAAATAATGGTACTAGTTAAAAAATTAATGAACTAAGATATGATACGACTATACCATATTTCAATAATAAATTCATTAATATTATGAAAGCAACATTACCTGCTCGTGTTCATCGGGAAGGATTGAACTCCATCATCCCGTCTTTCATTTCTTTCCATGGCAATTATCTCTACAATATTTAATTTCCAACAAAAGTGTTACCTAATCATGTTCTTCACATCCTCATCATCCAACAAAGTAACTCTCTTTTTTTCTTTTGGCGCAATATAGCATAGCACGACGGATTCGAAATTAACGTTCGGCCACCTCTTTGATATGAGAGTGTACACTTCGCCAAGCGTTGATCCAATATGCATAGAGAACATAAACAATTCATTCTTGTACGTACAACTCCCTAGTATATCACTTTGAGCCACTTCCATGTATCTAACAATATTTGGATAAATAAAAAAAAATCACATTTCCTAGGAAAATATGATACAAAAAAGTATTAAAGTGGTACTATATACATGCAAACAAAAGTACAATAATCAAGAATAGTGGTACAGTGATCATTACCATCTTATTTTCTTGTTTTAGGGTGAATAACACATTACACAACTTAACAAGAGCATCCATTTCGTATACATAAACAAGAAATAAGAGATTTTGATCAATTTAATTGATTTAGGGTTAATATGAACAAAAATTTTTAAAATTCAATCCCTAACAAATTAACCAAATATATACGAATTAAACATAATTTTTAGACTCCAATGTGCATAAAGAACATAAACAATTCATTCTTGTACGTACAACTCCCTAGTATATCACTTTGTGCCCATTCCATGTACAATATTTGGATAAATAAAAAAACTTCACATTTCCCAGGAAAATATGGTACAAAAAAGTATTAAAGTGGTACTATATACATGCAAACAGAGGTACAATAATCAAGAATAGTGGTACAGTGATCATTCCCATCTTATTTTCTTGTTTTAGGGTGAATAACACATTACACAACTTAACAAGAGCATCCATTTCGTATACATAAACAAGAAATAAGAAATTTTGATCAATTTAATTGATTTAGGGTTAATATGAACAACAATTTTCAAAATTCAATCCCTAACAAATTAACCAAATATATACGAATTAAACATGATTTTTGGACTCCAATGTGTATAGAGAACATAAACAATTCATTCTTGTACGTACAATTCCCTAGTACATCACTTTGTGCCCCTTCCATGTATCTAACAATATTTGGATAAATAAAAAAAAAATTCACATTTCCCAGGAAAATATGGTACAAAACAGTATTAAAGTGGTACTATATACATGCAAACAGAGGTACAATAATCTAGAATAGTGGTACAGTGATCATTCTCACCTTATTTTCTTGTTTTAGGGTGAATAATACATTACACAACTGAACAATAGCATCTATTTCGTATACATAAACAAGAAATAAGAGATTTTGATCAATTTAATTGATTTAGGGTTAATATGAACAACAATTTTCAAAATTCATCCCAAACAAATTAACCAAATATATACAAATTAAACATGATTTTTGGACTCCAAAATGCTCATATAATACATATATTACTTGCTACTTCAAATTTTGGCCGGAAAAAGCACGAATGTTGTCGGAAACAATGAATTCTTGGCCGAACAAATTTGACGTCGGAATCACTTCTTTGGCCGGATTTGTTGTTGCCGGAGTTCTTCTCGCCGGATTTGGGTCGTCGGAGAGACCGACCTGAAAAAAAAAAAATGGAAGCAGTCGCCGGAAATGGAGGAAGACGGGAGGGAGGGAGAAAGGGTGTAGAAGAAGATTGATCAAAAGTAATAAAATACTATTATGTGTTGTGGTTAGTGGAAGAGAAAACAAATAAAATAATATGGTAGTGGGATGATGTAATAAAGCATTTTAGTTTTGATTTAATTTTAACATTAGGGAGTTAGGAGGAAGAAAATTAAGGAATTAGGGAGTTGAAAGGAAGAAATAAAGGTATGGGGACTAAGAAGGTAAATGAAAAGGCACTTAGGAATTTTAGGAGAACTCACCCTTTAATTTTTGGGCATAAATTACAATTTCTAAAAATGATAGGTTTTTTTTTTTNCGATCAATATATGAATTATGAACTATTTATTTTCTTATAATTATTGTAGATGAGGGTGAATTTTGAAGCCCAAATAATGTCCGTAGTTTTCTGTTATACCAGTTTTAGTCTTTTTCACAAGTATGTTTTCAATTTTCATTAAATAATGTTATATTTTGAAAGATAATCCCCCTTATATATTAATTCAAAATGTGTTGAACCTATGTGGCAGGCTCGCATGCTTCGGGATCCTATGTGGCAAAATTACATGCTTCGTTATTAGGCTTGGATAGATTTAATTTACTTCTAATCCAATATTTAGGTTCGGATTATCAATAAATATGTTGATTATTTATGGTAGGGGTGGACACAGTCCGGGACGGTCCTGGATTTGACTTGTCCAGATACCCATCCCACTTTTATGAATCCGTCCATGAACGGCCCGGAATGAGGCACCGTCCCCACCCATGTAATACATGGGTTTTGTACTAGTATATATATAAAGAAAAAAATTGATGATATGTGGATTTGAATTGCTCTTCATTGAGTGTATCTTAAGTCGAATTCACCATCCATGATTCCATGTGTTGTATTTTACCTTCATGGTAGATATATTAAATCATATCTATCAGTAAATACAATAAATCATATCCATTGTCTCGGAACTAAGATAGTATACATGTATAAAAAAATATATAAAGAGTTTCAAGGTTGACAAAAGTTCAGAAATATCAATTTTGATTATCATTCAATCAAAGTTTACATTATAATTCTACATTTTTCATACTGTATTCGGTTCTTACTATGTAGGGCGAAAACTATTTCTATTTTTAACTATTAGAGATTTTTTTTTATTATAATCTAACACTTGTATATATAAATTTACAGTCACATAATAACCAAGACGTCATTGCCTGCTTTTTTCTTTACCTTATTTTTTGGCAGCTTATAGTAGTCAAATTGCCAGCATAAGCTTCAGACTGGTGCCCAACTTCCCTTTCAATGGAGCTAAAATAGTAAAATACACAAACATTCTAGATAACATCCCATTTAACTGTACATTGTACAAGCTTAAGTCCCAAAAAAATAAAAAATAAAAATAAAAAATAAAACAGAAAGAAGATCGATCACGCGTAAAGAGCCGAAGGTCTTGGATAAGTCACCGGTTTTCTATACAATTTCTCAGCATTACTCATGTTGACGAAATTAGGCTTCGTTTGGCTGCGTCTTTCTAACCGATAATGCTTTTGATCCTTCTTCGACTCGACCTTTTCCGAGTCTTGTAGTTGCTCCAGAGCTGTCACGACCTGATCCATATTCGGCCTCGACCGTGCATCCATGCAAAGGCATTGTAGTGCGAGCTTAGCTGCTTTCCCTGCTTGTACCAAAGAGTACTGCCCTTCGAGACGCGCATCGATGACACGCAAAACTCGCCGTTTATTGCTCATGTAAGGCTTTGCCCACTCGACGAGATTTTGTTCGCCCGACTGTCGGTTCTTGTCGATCGCCTTTTTACCGGATATGATCTCGAGGAGAACGACCCCGAAGCTGTACACGTCACTCTTGGCCGTTAAATGTCCTTTTTTTACGAAGCATGAAAAAATGATTTTTGTTAGGACTATGTCAAGAGCAAAAATGCTGCTACTACTTGTGAGTAAAAGCCGACAAATAGAGAATTTTATATGTAGCAAACCTGTAGATAGATACTCAGGGGCAGCATATCCATAGGTCCCCATGACTCTAGTCGAGACATGACTTTTATCACCGGTTGGCCCATCCTTCGCAAGTCCAAAATTCGAAAGTTTCGCATTATAGTTCTGCAAATTAACCAAATCTATCTCTAAAACTCTTAAAATTAACAGTTCTTGTTGAGAGTACAATTTGTCAAAAAAGGAAAGAGCATGAAAGTCCTCTTTTTTTTTCAGAAACTATGTGAACTATTATTGGACAAAATAAAATGCAATACAAAAAAAAATAAAAATAATAAATTACAAACCGAGTCGAGCAGAATATTGGAAGTCTTGAAATTCTGATAAATCACTTGTGTTTTGGCACTGTGAAGAAAGGCGAGCCCCTTTGCAGCACCAAGAGCAATCTTCATCCTCAGGCTCCAAGAAAGAGGCTGGAAAAAATAACCTCCTAAATTCAACAAGGAAAGAAAATAGTTATAATCAATATAATATTCCGAATAGCTACTTGATTTGTAGATCATAATATTACTTGAAACTCACTCCTGAAGAGGTGATTCTCCATGCTACCCTTTGGCATGAACTCATAGACTAAAAGCCGTTGATCGTCCTCTAAGCAGTAACCGATCAACTTCACGAGATTATGGTGTCGCAATTGGCCGAGATAGTTAATTTCAGCCTGTACAACCAAATGCAGCTTTGCAAATAAGAAAGCATGTATTACTTAACTAAATCAACAATGTTCAAATAATACTTTTCTACTGCATGGATTCATTCAAGTAACGAAAAAAATACTTCGAGAGGCAATTGGAACGGATAATACAAAAACTAACCCCGACATTCAGTTTTAGGTACTAAAAGACCCGACTACTATTCAGATATTGCAAATACCTCCCTAGGCACTACATGCATTATACTGCATTCAGGTTTCTAGTTACAAACTTACACTACACATTAATTCATTGTCAAGGTTCCCTTGTTTAAAGTAAACAATTTTATTCATTTTTCCT